TTGTAGGAGTTAGTATAGTACTGTAATTTTCTATGGAAAGTTTGCAAGTTACACGTGGATTTTATGTGTCCGTTTAACACTAGGTTTACGGACGCTATCTTTATACCTATTTGTAAGGACAACTGTCAAATTGATAGGTAAAGGAAAAATTAGTTTAATTAAAAACAATTATATATTATATTAACAATCTTAATGTAAGTTAACTAAATCTGTTACCATCGTATAATTCGAGCAACCCTTCCGCCAAATTCACGGGTTCCGTAAATCTAGTGTTAAGAGGGTGGTTTTTGGAATTTCGGAAATAGGAATAGGGTCTTCGTTTCTGTACTCTTATAGGATTCTAGGAGTTAATATAGTGCTGTAATTTGTCTATGGAAAGAGGGGGTGTATTTAAAATTTCGAAGTACATCGTTCTTTGTCGATAAAAATAATGGTTCTAAAATTTAGGAAATGGATATTGCTATAGAGTTATAGGTGTAAGTACGGTGCTGTTTGTCGATAAAGAGAGAAGCAGATATTAAGGGAAAGGGTGGTCTTGATATTTAAAAACAAATATTGTTATAAGATTGTAGGGGTGAGTATGGTGCTGTTGATTATTGATGAAAAGAAGGGGTGGATTTAGAATTTAAAAGTATATTGTTGTTTATCGACAGTGATAGAAAGTGGTTCTAAAATTTAAAAATGGATATTGTTACAGAGTTGTAGGTGTAAGTATAGTGTTATTTGTCTATAAAAGGAGAAGCAGATATTAAGGGAAAGGGTGGTCTTGATATTTAAAAAATAAATATTGTTATGAGATCTTGGGGGTCAGTATGGTGCTGTTGATTATCGATGAAAAGAAGGGGTGGATTTAGAATTTAAAAGTATATTGTTGTTTATCGACAGTGATAGAAGGTGGTTCTAAAATTTAAAAATGGATATTGTTACAGAGTTGTGGGTGTAAATATAATGTTATTTGTCTATAAAAGGAGAAGCAGATATTAAGGGAAAGGGTGGTCTTGATATTTAAAAAATAAATATTGTTATGAGATCTTGGGGGTCAGTATGGCGCTGTTAATTATTGGTGAAAAGAGGAGGTGGATTTGGAATTTGCAAACTGAGAGGAGAATCTTTGTTTATCTATTCTTATATCATTATAGGTATAAGTATAGTGTTATTGCTCAACGATAAAGAGAGAAGCATGGATTAAAAGAAAGGGTGTTTTTAATATTTAAAAAATAAATATTATTATGAAGTTGTAGTAGTAAATATGGTGTGCTGTTCGTGAATAAAGAGAGGGGATATCTTATAAAATTTAAAAACTGGGAGGATATTCGTTTCGCCATTCTTATATCATTGTAGGCCTAAGTATAGCGTTGTTCGTCGATAAAGAGGAGGGTTGGTTTTAAATTTAAAAAATGAATAAGTAAGTACAGTGTCATTTGTGGATAAACAGAGAGCGTGTTCTCGAAATTAAAAGAAACGGGAATCGTTACAGGGTTGCAGGTGTAAGTACGACGTTATTCGTGAACGAAGGGAGGGGGTAGACGGGGGGTGGCGAGTCGAAAATTCGCATTGAGGAGAAAATCACAGCGTTGGCTATTAGTCGCGATACACTTCGTTCCTCTTAAATATACCGTAATCGGGACGAAAAATCATCGTTCCCGGTGTATCGTGACGTGTGTGTGAACCGTTTGCGTGCCCAGTTACATCTCAATGAGCGCCGCCGCGAAGTCAAGAGCCGAGGAATTATTCTTGCGACCCTGCCGCCCCGATTTTCCCTCGCTGGTATAAACAAATTATCCGTTAAACGCGATTAAGCGGCTTAGCATACGCCGGGAATTTATCATTGGTCGAGACATTCGGACTTTCACGAAACTTTATTGCCATCGAAGGGGTTGAACTTTCGTGCCTCGATTCTCACCATTTTCTCTACGAACACGCGTTCCTCATCGCAATTCCTAAGCTTCGCGAGAATCGGTATAACCTCGAATTTGCAAAGAAAGGTTCAAAATCATCGTCATCCACGAGTGTCATTGACATGAGAGTACAAAAAAGGACATTTATATATAAATCATCACTTCGCAAAATTTATTTAGAAAAATCACGAAATATTCCTAAATTTCCTTAATTTTCTAAACATTTGCAATCATTCGATACTCGATATATCCCCGATCGAGAATAAGATCGATTTTCTAAATATTCGAGATATCAACTACATTTTTTCCCGTATAAAATCCCAAAGCACACAAGGATCGATATAATTTGGTATTTGCAAGAAAGAACGGGGAATGATGGTGATTGATGCTCGATGGGAACGAGGAAAAGCACGCTCGGTTCCAAACGATCGTCCCGGGAAATTTGTTTACAAGAAACGCGAGATTGTAACGCGTTTCCCCCTTTGTCCGAGACGCGGGATCATCGGATCGGAAAATCATCATCCGTCGTTTCCTGCAATTACGATCTCCTGCACAAAAGCGTTCGCGTGCGTTTCAGCCGCTCAGTCATCGTGTGTCGGGAAATCATCATCCGTCATTTTTTCCACCGCTTCTCCGTTTCTTGCTCTCTTTCTCCCTCGGCGCCGCGCCATCGTCCCTCGCGCTGTCCTCGTCGCACTCGCGTGCGTGCCGGGTGCCTGCGTGCGGATCGCATTTCGATGCGCGTTCACCGGGGGTTGAACGGTATCGCTCTGTTCCGGATAGAAAGGCAAATGGGCTTTTTCTTCGTTTAATCCGCTCCTTTTCCTGACTTCGCGCTTATTTACCCTCCAGGCTCGTTACTCTACCACTGACCACTTTCATGCTAGTTTCGTCGTGGTTTACGGCAGATCTACGGAATAAGGAGCAATTCAAGAGTGGCTAGGAAGCGTCGGAATACCTCTCGCGTCGCTATGAACCGTGTACTACACGACAAAAAGGGTGCTTTGTTCGCTGTGCACGATTCCACCTCTCACGCTTTTCAAATTCATAGCTTTAAACACACCCTGTCATATATCTACTACGAACCACGTGTTTAACGAAATTTATTAATGCCAATTCCTATTTTTATACTTTTCATTTTAAATTCCGCGCTCGATGTTATCCCTTTTGTCACGTGACTACGTGATTTCTCCTTTAATACATATATAATTGATTGTGATTAAGTGTTCGATATTTATTCTTATTTAATTTTCTTTAAGATTCTTCCTTTCTTTTCTTTTTTCACTCATCTGTCATTTGACAGGTCGTGTTAGGTTTAGAAATAATTTAATTATCGCGAAATGAAAAGTGGAAACTTATTTTCCTCTTTTTCCTGGCACCTGGAATTGTTTAAAATTCGGAAAATCGGGTTAATTCCTCTAGTTTATGAATGATTTATATGGTAGTATCTTTATTTTACATCATTTTACATTAAATAACACTGCCCCGTTTCGTTTGATCCCAGTATATCCTGTTCACTCTTTTCCTCACAGGCTGCAATGCAATTATATTCGTAGACGTGACATTTTCAGTCAACAACGAAGTTTCACATATACTTCATACTTGCAATTGCGTAAGAGAAAGTGGACCCATTTATTCACTCCTTTACACGCGATAAAATTCTATTTATACGTGTGACATTTTCAACAACGAAAACTCGTGTGACCGATCTCTACGATTGCATCAAAGACGAAGGTACCCATTACCTTGTGGCCAATCAGATCCACGTTCCTTCCGATTACCAACTTGTCGGGCTCATACAGGATGTTCCAAAATGTCTCCCCTCTTGCACAGAAAATTCACATTCCCTCGTCGAAACTTCAAAATTATTTTTCAAAAGAATACTTTCGTGATTTCTCTCGCAAGTTCCTTAAGAAATTTGATCCTCGTCTGACATCGGAGATTATGGAATCTCTACGCTACGATAGTAAGGATATAATTTTGAAACAGCCTGTAGTGGATATGGCAAAGCACCATAGTCGTTGGAGCGTTTTACTCTATCCGATGGATCCGACGAAAGAACGTGGAAGTGTCTGAAAGTACCGCGAAGACGAATCGCTGGATCGAATTGTCCGGTGTGAACGAAGACACGCTGGCAGAGAGGCCATTGTTCGGCCAGGAAGAATTATGATAGAGGTCCTAAATAAATTAAGTCGCGCCCACGTCCGTCCAGCAGCTGCGTATACCGGGCCAGCCTGGATTAATCTAAAAGGACTGCGAATATTCGAGAAGGGTTAATCACGAATGGAAACCGCGCACGGGGTATCGGAAGGTTAACTAGACTGGATAATCGCGAATGTCCACTGAAAAATGTACGTCCGTCGCGAGCTAGAGGGAAAAGGGTGCGTTGGCTCGGCCGAAGGGGATGATGATTGCGTAAACGTGACACGTAGAACGAAGCTGACGGGCCTGGCGTGACCGGCGAGTGTTGGGTGTGGACACGAGGAGATAAACCAACACCGAGGGTGCAAGTACTGTGTCTGAAATTACGCACTAGTATCAAGTGGAAAAACAGGAATTTTATGAATCCTCCCTTGGAATATTCAATCCCTCCTGATCATTGCTCATTTACTATTATCTCACTCAGCTTTTACACGTTTCTTTGTTTCTTTGTAATTTGCATATTTTGGAACGAAGGTATTTCCAAAAACAGCCCTATTTTCCGATTATTATCTTTATTATAGTCTTAATTAATTTACTCGATACGAATATCGATCAAGGGTTATAAATTTAAATGTCTTCTTTCAGAAAATTTAGGGTGATATCAATGTTCGAAATATGTAGAATAGTAATATTAGTCTGGAAATTGAGTGGGGGTAGTTGACACTAAACCTAGAATGATCGAATGCTAATGGGCGAAGAAATAAAGTAAGGGAAACTTTAGAAAAATGGAACTCGAGGAGATATTGAAAAATTGATTGTGTCTATGTTACAAGAGAAATTGCAGAGCAAGTGAGCAAAGTTGACTAAGTTGAATGCAAAGTTTTGAACTAAGGGTGTAAATAGGAGCATTTAGATCATGGTAGGTTTAGAGTTATGGGTTGAAATAGACGATAAAAGTACCTGATGGAAGCCAAGGTAACTTTCTATGCTGTGAGTGGCGAAGAACACTTCCCCGTCGCAGGTAAGAATCAGAAGGAACCCGTTCAGCGCCTGTAACAGACGAATTATTTTGCGAATATTACTATGAATTCTCATGAACTACGGAAAGAAAAAGTATAAGTGAATACAATATTAAAGAGTTAATATCGAATGAATATTCCCTTTTGTTGGTTTTATTTTACAACTACAACAACATTTCTCAAGATAAAAATAATTTCTCGTTTCTTCTGTAATAAAAAATTCTTCAACACCCCAATAGAGGAGTTAGAAAGTTTAGAATTCATGATAATATTAATTTACGTTGAAAAAAGATACTGGGACGGAAAATAATATTAATGTACGTCGAAAAGGGGGTGCTGGAGCGAAAAATAATATTAACTTATGCTGTAAAAGGGGTGCTGGGACGAAAAGGTATTCTTTTTGCAATAAAAAATCCCCAAATTTTCTCGTTAATATTAATTTACATTGAAAAATGTATACTAGAACGGAAAGTACAATAATATTAATCTATGTTGAAAAGGGGGTGCTGGAGCGGAAAGTAATATTAACTTATCTTTAAAAAGGGGTACTGGGACGAAAAGGTATTCCTTTTGCAATAAAAAATCCCCAAATTTTCTCGTTAATATTAATTTACATTGAAAAATGGATACTAGCTATGACAGAAAGTAATATTAATCTACATTGAAAGGGGGTGCTGAGACAGAAAGGTATTCCTTTTACAATAATAAAAAAGTCCCCAAATTTTCTCGGCAATATTAATTTACGTTGAAAGGGGGGAGGGGCTGAGATGGATAGGTATTCCTTTTGCAATAATTAAAAAATCCAAAAATTTTCACGCTAATATTAATTTGCGTCGAGAAAACAATCCTGGGACGGGTTTACATTGGAAAGGGGGTGGTGGGCCGGGAAGGTATTCCTTTCGGAAAACGAGGGATCGCGAGTGGAGCGAAAACGTCGAGGAAAGTTTTCCCATTTATCGACGTGCCAATGGTGGTGGCTTTCGAATACCAAAACGAGCTGGAAACTCGAACGGCCGTATCGAAGCCCGAAATATCCGTCCTAGTTTAAACGGTCGGGGGCTAGAACGGCGCGGGGGAGTCGGTCGTTTAAAGTACTCGTCTGCCCGCCCGTTTCCGAGCTAAATGTGTATTGTTTTGTTTTATTTCCACCCGTTGCCGTAGGTGCCCGTGCCAGGCACGTCGGACGGGTTTCATTGGTCGGAAATATGAAGAGAGACTTGTACCTGAGACCGCGTCGCATCGACCTGTGGCCGATTTTTCTTTTACTTGCACTCCCGAGCAATTTCTCCATCATGGGAAAATGGACGCTTTTATTTTCTCCACGGTAGTGATTGAGTTTGATCTTGATGGGAGGGTTGGAATTCGATGCTTGGGGGTTGCAAGGTTTTAATAGGGGTGCGTTCGAATTGAATATTTGGGATTAGAAAGCTTGAAAATTGAATGTAAGAAAAGTAGATATTTTTCAATTAAAAGGTTTGGAATTCTATGCTTGAGAGCCAAAAAATTTCAATAGGAAGGTATTCGAATTGTATACTTGCGATTAGAAAGCTTGTAAGCTAAGATAATATTAAAATAGCAATTTTTCGAGTCGAAAGCTTCCAAATTCGAGGTCAGAAGTGCGAGAGCTTTCAAATTTTTAGGTTACAAATTGGTAGCATTCAAATCCAACGTTTAAAATTAGAAGGTTAGAAATGAAAAGCTTCCAAGTTCAATACTTTACTTCGAATCTTAAACTTGCGAATTTTAAGCTTTTGAATTCGACATTTGAGAATCGAAAACTCCAAAATTCCAAATTTGAGAACACAAACCTCCTAAACTCATTGTTTAATTCATAATCCACCATCCATAGTCGCAAAATTCAAAGCTTGAAAAGTTGATAACTCGAAAGCTTAAAAGCAATGACCCCCAATTCCAATCTTTCACATTTTGAAAGCTCGACGATTAGAAGACGAGCTATACTACTCCAAAAAATAAAATAAAAATTCTGAATAATAAATTTTGGGGGAAAACGAAAGGGTCGCAAGCTCGCAGAAATTGGCGAAGATCCATGGAGAGAGTAGAGACACCATAACACAGAGTGCCGGGGGATGGCTATCGAAGCGATCGCATGCGCGACGGATGCTGCGATTTGATTGGTTGATCCGGAGGGTGGGTTTCTCTCTCGCGTCAATACGGATCCGCGCGGAGGGTGAGTTTCCCCGAGCTTCAATCGAGCCCCTGTACCACGAATATAAGCTAGTAATAGGATTTTCTCGCCGCCTGCCTACGTTCCTTCCCTTCGAAATGGCCGACATGGCCATTTCTGTAAACCGCGCCATTCCCCATGGGACTCCATCTAATCGGCGCGATTGCGTTCCACCTTCGATCGTCCTCCAAACTCCTCTACCGACATAACGTTATAACAAACAGAAAATTAACAATATCGACCAACCCCTTTGGTATCTCACGAATTTTCCATACTTACACAACTCCAGTGATTCCTTCGAAAATACCAATTTTCCGAACACCTTTCCTCAAAATTAACATCCCCTTAGTTAAAAACTGGAAAATAGGAATTAATTTAGAAAATAATCTTTCGTACACCAGTATAATTTATTATACAGTTCTTTAATGACAATTTTATGGGTGAGGAGTTTAATAACTTCGAGTCGAGGTATTTATCGACAAAATCGCGAATTTGGTAGTTTTAAAATCTTTTAATTATTTATTAACCCTTTGCACTCGAGAGGTAACTCTCAGTCACCATTTAATCAGATTCTGAAGATCGACGTTAATTAATATATCAAATTTAAAATTACCTAAAGATGTGTGCAATGTCGAAGAAAAATAATTCTACGTCTTAATTTGCATATGATTTCTCATTTACGATTTTAAAATTATCGTCGACTCTATGACAGAAAGTCTTCGAATTACTATTTTTCTGTAACGAAAAAGTCGTCGAGTGCAAAGGGTTAAATTATTTAAATAAATTTCCAATTTTTGTTTCGTGTCATACTTACTAAAGGGGTTGAATAACACTAATTTTCTCCCCATTATAAATAACCTCCCTTTCCCTCGGCCAATAAAAAAATCAAATAAGGAAAGGAAGGAGGAAGAAAGAAAGATGAAGAATGTATAAGAGTAGAAGGAAAGAGCGATCCATTTCTCGTATCCATTACTCGAGATTAAATTCACGGTTGACACGATCCAGGAAGAGCAGCGAAGGGTGAAAACGAGAGAGGACAAGGGACCAGAAAGAAAATCGATGGATTTTTATTTCTCGCGTGTGCTGACCGGCAGCGAATCAGTCGCGTGCCGAGTGTGCGAGTACTCGCGTGTTCCGTCCAAGCGTGAACTTCTAATACCCCTTCATCCTCACCTTGACTCTCGTGTATTAGCGGGTCGCCAATAATACTTCACGCACGAAATCTTTCCATTTTCTTCGCTCATGCAACTAGAAGTCACGGGCACGGACACGGGCCGTGGCACGATCGGCCGGTATGCAGATCCTGAGAGTAACCTCAATCGCAATTACAGCTCTCTCGATACTCTCTGTTTGCCCACCCTCCCTCCTTGCAACCCCCCAGATTATCGTTTCATTTTTCCATTTGCTTGTTTCTTCGTTGTTATTAACACGTACGTTGTTAACACGTTACACCGTGTAGGTTACATAATTTAGGTCTCGTTTAGGGCCCCTAGGGGTGATTCCATTGGTCTTATTTTCATCCGAATTTTCATCGCATTTTTCATGCGAATATCAAGTTTCGAATTCGATTTTAGCAAAATTTGTTGGGTATCTTTGAATAAAAGGAAGGCTTCTGGATTTCGCGTGGTATATTCGAGATGGGAATTTTTGTGATTGCCAGGCACTGAATTGGAGTCTTGAGGAATCGAGAGGTTAATAATTGTGGGGACATTTGGATTATGAAATTTGCGAAATGGGAATTTTTTTAATTGAAAGGTATCTAGTCAAAATTTTGCGAAATGGGGAGTCTTTGAATTGAAAATATTCCGGTTGAAAGTTAGCGAACTGAATTCTTTTGAAATTAGAAATCATAGTTCGAAAGTCTTCGAATTGAAATTTTGCTGAATAGAAAACTCTGGAAAATTGGAAATATTCGAATTAATAAATCTGCGAATTGAAATTTTGCGAAATAGGAACCCCGAAAAATTGTAAATATATGAATTAAAAAATTTGTTGTATAGAAGCCCTTAAAAATTGGAAATATTCGAATGAAAAAATTTGCGAACCGAAATTTTGCAACATAGGAACCTCCAAAAATTGGAAAAATACTCAAGAAATTTGCAAATAGAAATTTTGCAATATAGGACCTCCTGAAAATTGGAAAAAATGCTCAAGAAATTTGCAAATCGAAATTTTGCAATATAGGACCTCCAAAAAATTGGAAAAAATGCTCAAGAAATTTGCAAATCGAAATTTTGCAATATAGGAACCCTATAGATAAAATTCCAAATATTGGAGTTAAGTAATTTGCGAATAGAAATTTTGCGAAACAAAAAATCGGCAAAACGAAAGCCTCGGAAATCGAACATTGCTTCATCGATCATTCCCCGCTTCTAAATTCGCCTGATTTGGCACGAAGCAAAGTAAAGGCAACGGAAGACAAATGTAGCTAAAAACAAACGTAAATCTCAGGCGAGTGGAAGGAAAAATGCTAAGAAGCTGATATACGTATCCGATTAGATCGTGGCTGGAAAAATTGGAAGCGAGTTACGTGTGCGGAAACTTAAGAGCAGCTTAGTCGAAATAATAAAGGAACTATAAATTCTGACTGTGAAGTGGCACGCGAGTTGCGCGCTATCAATCCGCGAGAGCTTGCGAAGTGGCGATCAAAAGAAACGTGATATCCCGACCTGCGTTAACGTTTTATCCTCATTTTTTCCTCTGCTGAATTTTTCCTTCTCCATTTCCCTTTTCTTCGACACCTTCTCTTACCTTCTTTGTCTCTCGGCTTCGTAGATCCATCCCTAATGACCCAACCAATCGATCGGCAAATTTAATATTCGCGAATCGAACAGCCACGTGCAATC